ATTACATTGCCTTCGTTAATGAAATGATCTAAGCTAATCGAAGGATTAAGATCCGTGAAATCAGTCACGAACTCAACCTGAGTAAAGGAACGTTAACACCATTATCTACAAACATCCGGGGTACAGCAAAGTGTGTGCGGCATGGGTACCAAAACACCTGACCCTTGATCATCAGAAACGACGAATGGGCTTCTGTCTCCAGCACTTGATCCGTTATGAGAAGAATCCTGCATTTCTGGATCGTATCGTTGCGGGCGACGAGACCTGGTGCCACCATTACACACCCGTTTCTCGAATCCAAGAAAACGAGTGTGCAATGGAAACACAGCTCATCTCCTCCACCGCGGAAATCGAAAGCAACGATAACTGCACGGAAAGTGATGCTTTCATTTTTCTTCGATTGTCGTGGACCATTTTTAATCGAATTACTGCCCCAAGGGAGCACTATCAATTCCGCACAATATTGCAGTACTCTGACGAAACTGCGACAAGCAATAAAAAACAAACCGCCGGGCCCTCTCACACAAGGAGTGATCCTTCTGCATGACAATGCCCTGCCACACATCTCCCAGCAAATCCAGAGGACCTTAAACACATTCCGTTGGGAGGTTTTTGCCCCCCCCCGTACGTTCCGGGCATGTGAAACTGTGACTTTCACATCTTTGGGCCACTTTAGAGAGCCGTACAGGGAAAACGTTTCTATTCGGACGATGGAGTGAGGGAAGCCGTACAGGACTTCCTTAGGAATCAGCCCCAATCTTTCTACAGCAAAGGCATCGAGCTGCTGCCGCAACGTTGGGACCTGTGTTTCAACGCCCATGGCGATTTCTTTTGATTTACAATAAAGGTATTATTTTTCTTCATCTTGTCTACTTTTCATTTGGGCAACCCTTATATATATATGCGTGTATACTGTGGCATAAAAATGTTCTGCCAAAACTTAGAACGCTGTATCAACATCAGAATGTGTGAGTGAAAATCAAAACCGAAAGCTATTGAAAAGTTGGAACTGTTGAATGTGTTAGAATATGGTGAGAAATTTTTAGCCAGTTTCGCTTTAAATAAATTGTATAGTCGTTGACTTAATTTTAAATTTGAATGTGGCAAGTGCCGTCCAGCCCGTATAGTGGTTAATGAAATTAACTACAGTACTTATGTGCCTGGGTTCGAATCCCAGACATGGCATGTTTGCCCACATATAATTTCCGTGCGGCATGGAGGGCACTCAAAATACACGGCAAGCCGAAAATCCTCTCAACTTTTGTGGTGGGGGAAAAGGCGTAGGAGACTCTTCGACCGCCCGCTGGGGTGTTGTAGAATTATCAACAATTATCAACAACAATAAGTGCCGTTAAGTCTGTTTTTTTACCATAGCAGCCATATTTGTTTACATTTGAAACTTAGCAGAATAGTGGATTTGTTGCCAATCCAGAGAAACTAAGCTCCGAATCAACAAAGATAACGTCTTCTTTTATTATTGCGAATTAAATCATGCTTAATTCATTCTGGAAATTATCATTTAAGTTATTAAATTATCCCATATATTGACTCAGTATAGTTGCTCATCGGGGAGTCGTGTTCTTTTCTCATTCATTTTCAACTATAAAAAAAAAAAAGCTATTCACATATAAATGTATTTCCCCTAAAATAGATTATTCTTAGTAATAGATTTTCTGGGGCGTTTTCCAAGTTTGTTTTTAATGGAAATGAAAAATGTAAACTCGGGTTTAAACTGACTAAAATATTTAAAGCGCCATAATTGAAATTTCTTCAAGGGCCACATAAAGTTGCTTCGGGGGCCGCCAGTTTGAGATCAGTGCTTGATATCCTCTTACTTCCTATTCCACTAATATAGTTTCTTTCCGTTCTTCCTCTACTGTTGAGCAAGTTTAGTCATCTTTCTTTCCTCCTATGTTGATCTCGGACAGTTAATCTTAAGGCAAGTCCTCCATCCCTGCTAGATGTCTTACCATTAATTTACCTCTTATCCTCAACTATGCATATTTGCTTTGCCTTCCGAGAAGAGACCAGAGGGACATGCCACGAGTGTGTAGTTATGCAATAATGGAGCTCTGGGCCGAAAAGCTAACTAAATCCAGTCGGTAGCTGGTCCATGATCGGTGGGAAAGGTAATGTATAATATTTAAAGAATTGATGGGCTAAATTGAAAATAATTTTTAAATTGGAAAATTAATTCCTTGTTTCCGTGATGTGTTTCTCAAATATAACTGGCATTTTTCGTATAAATAATAATTGTTGTAATCCTGAAAAATCATAAAATAGATCATAAGATTTCCTAATTTAGTACAATTTTGTGTGCTAGAGGAAACTTAGTTGTATGCAATCCTTGTTAAGTCTTAACCTAGAAACTTCATAGACCTGTTAACTTCATAGACCATTTTGTAAGTTGGCAAATGTTCGTCCATACCATAGCCTTTTTCTGGCTACAATGTAAAAGTAAAAATCGGCTTTAAAATACTTTACTTCGTTAGACTGTTCGTAGACTACGAAAACTTAAAATGCAGAACTCAAAGGTCCGCTGCACAAATCTCAAAAATACATAAAATTAAAATTGAAAATTCTTAAGTATTAAAATCAAACACTACAAATAAAAGGGATACCATAATAAAATCTGTTTCACCGTCTGTGTTCTCCTAAGCTGTACTAATTCAAATAGATTTCCTTACCTACAGATGCTGACTCAAAGTATCAAGCTTGCTACTATCTTCTTATACTCCATAGCAAAACTTTTCGTTAGGATAGCAGGGTGTATATTTTTTTGGTAGCTAGAGTTTTGAAACCAGTGGTTTTGAATCTTTTTTTGGTTCTTGACACAGCATATTCAGCAAATATTATATTCAATACCTTTCCTTATTTTTCTGTAACATGTTTATTTTTCTCTCTTCACACTAACAAATATCTCAGCACTCTAATATGCTGCAGTAAAACTCGCTGAGAACTACTGCTTTCTAAATGATTTGCATCAACCATCACCGCATCTTCTTAAATGGGCTATAGAATGTCTTATTTTGGCAGGTTACGTTAAAATGAGAAGCAAAGGAATGGAGAGCAGGAACGAAAAAATTTTAATTAAATTCAAATTTATATTGTAGCCATTTTGGGGGCACTATTCTATCTACGTTTTGTATATTTTGGTGCACCTATACTTTATTATGTACATTTTGTAAATGGTGGCATCTAAAACAATCTTGATATTCTACAAAATATTTCATCCATTTTTTACAGGAAGCTGATCACTTTTAATTAATATTAAAAGTCTAGAAATATAATAATAGGTACAGAGTCAGTTAGAAACATGTGGGCACATTTTAACAGGGGGTATCTGCGCACTGGTTTCGAAGTCGAATTGAAGAGGTTTCCTCAACACATGTCGGTATTCTTATGACTGTTATATGTGACGTATGATAATGAATCAAACTGTCCTTAGGGGACATTTGGAGGACGTCGTGTAGCGCAAGAAATCGGTTATGCTGGAGATCTTTCATTAAGAAATTTGCTTCATACGTGTATCATTCGAACGTCATTAATATTTTTTCATTGCTCTGATCAGTTGGCCCTGAAAAAAACATTCGGTGTTGCCATTCGAAAATTTCGAAATGTTTTCACTTGACGTCCTGGCATTAGAAAGGTTTTTAATTAGAAATAAACATCAGTATCCAAAGTTTCAGAAAATTATGCAACGACTCTCTTCCTACGGTCTAGATCTCTGTCAAGTGTAAGTCCATATATTGCTTAGTGAACTTTTACATGCTGTGATTATGTAAGAAATGGCTTCTCTCGCAAACTTTATAAACTGCAATAAACCAATATATCTGAAATAACCCATGGACACCCACCTCTTTAGCATTATTATTACAATTTATTTTAACTTTCTGTTGCCAGTACTAGTTATAATTATCTCATCATGTTTATCTGTTTATTAATTATGTTTATCTCCTATTTTTGTTGCACCAAATCAGATGTTCAATTTATCTTGTGAATCTCAAATTGTATTCCCACTATTTTGTAATCTACTTATGCCCTATATCATTATTTTTAATAAATACGGGTGCGGGGCGTACTGTGGGATTGCACGATGCACATAACAGGCAAACTCTAGACCTTTTGGAAAGCTTCAGTCTATGCAATTCTTATAAAACTTGCAATTCGCCCCCTTTTTATTAAAGAGTAGTATGGGAAGGCATTACCAGTTGACGTATGGTACATCGCTGGTGTCCCCCCATACTTTTACCTTTAACTTTTACCTGTAACCACGAGAAATTTACTGCTTTAAATCATCACAATCTCGAGCGCATATCTTCAAATAACAATAAATGAAATTTCATTTCGATTAATTGAGGGAAAGGCCGCTAGGGATTCATACATCGGGAAAGCCTTTCTATGACCACCCTGTATTAAAAATTCTAGATGTATTTTAAGAGTTAAATGACTTTCTTTCCCTTTAATTACTAACACAACATCTGAATAACTTACTTTATTGATTTTACATATCATGCTAAAGGTTATAGAAATTCATGAACTGCTGTGAGTGAACTTAAAGTTAACTGGCAGACTGGGTGAATACATTATTAAATATTATTATTGACGAAATCTTCTTCACGTGTGGGTATTTTACTGTTTCATTTTGGTGCTCCACTGAAAAGGGAGATTCAGAGAAATAAGATAATAATCCAATTAGATCTAGACACTTCCTTCCACCTCGCTACGAAAACGGAAATAATATTACTTTCTAAATGTGATGCCATTCTAATATGAGTAATTTAGAATGAGAATCTTGATAGTACTTCGAAGAACAACAATTTATAAATATATCTTTTTATTAGATAGGCAATGAAATTTTTTCAAAAAGGCTGTATAATTGAGATCAAAGTATTGAGAACATTATTAAAAATAGGTATAAGATTTCACGTCCTTATGAATGGCAATAAACTGCAAAGAATTTACGCATTTAATTACATAAAATATCATTTTTATTTCAGGAATGAAACCACCTACTGTTGAGAGCTGCTATCCACGGCCATGTTCTTTCGATTTGAACAAGCCAGAAGATAGGAAAAAACCGAAAGTGCATGTTGGCATTGAAGTTACTTATTCCTGGAGATCCAATGGTTTCACACCGTGTAGTGCTTCTTGTCTTGGAGGTAAGTACATTAAGAAATTTGTTTAATTATTTTTAAGGTCTCTGTATGCGTATATTTGTATGTGTGTTTGCGCGTTATAAAACAAACTCAGCAATTTTGATGACATAGAACAGAGGATGGTGAATCCGTAATGAATAGCAAGAATTTTAATTGCATAGCATGTTGACGCATAATGAACAGGAAAACAGGCAACCGAGGCAGATAAGATCTTCATTTTATTTAGTAAACATGTTACGGCCACAAATGTCTTGGCACATTACTTGTGCCTATTTCAAAACGTTACAATTTTGATAGCTTTGCAATAAGAAGACAGCAGCAAACAGTAGTCAACTAGGCCGAAGTGTATGTTCTCACGATGAAATCTTATTTCGGAGAGAGTTAGTTTTGTTTTGCAATGCGTCTGATTGGATACTTAATACTGGCGTAAAATTATTATTAACTGTTTGAGTTTTAGTTCCATTTGCGCCACCAGCGTTATCTAAGAGTCATATGACACGGATTAGCTTCGAAATGACGCAGTATAGAAAATAATAACCACTTTAAGATTTTAGAGTAGAGAGGGGAAATACCAAATTAAAACTAAGCATTAAGGACAATTGCTTATTTAAATTATAATTTATTGTTATATTTTTATCTTACATATATACATTGTTTTTCAGCAAATCGGTTACAAACTTTCAGAAGAGATAGTGTACACCTGGGCAATGGGAAAAAACACATAGCAGTGCATGTTCGGAAACGCGTTCCTGATGCGGTGGTGAGGACGCAGAACACAAGAAAGGAAGGACACGAACAGGGGGAGAATAAAGTTTATTAGGTATGTTTAGTGCAACGGAATCAAGAAATGGAACAGAAACAGAGAAACTCTGTTGAAAAGTTTACAAACTTTCTCTCCTGAAAATTTGTAACCTATCGTCGTCAATGTTCAAAATTACGACCTGGACCTGTGATACAGGAACCGCGCGTAATGCATTTTCCATTCGTAATGCAGATCTTCCATACGCTGGAGATGTAAGGCCCAGATCGCGGTTCGGGGTCGTAATTTCGAAAACCTTCATTAATGACAATCGTTGTCTGTCTGTGTTCTTATTTGTTGCTTTCTGCTGTACTAAACATAATAAAACATTGTAGAGACATTAGGTATTTTTTGGAAAAGCTGGAGAGATGAAAAATGAGCAATCGCCTTCGCAGGGAATCGAACCACGGACCTCTGGAATACCGGCCCAGCGTGAACCACTACACCACGAAGGCACGCTAAGAAGGCGGGAGAAATACCTTATAACATGTTTTGTCATACTGTTCGTATTCTTTTTATGTGTTTTATGTCGTCATTCCCGCGGCATGCATTACTATGTGACCATGAATTGCTGTGCGACCGGCCATGCATTGTCCGACCATGCATTGGCTATGTGATTTTCGATCGTCTAGGCGTACTCTTTCTCTCCTGAAAGTTTGTAACCGATTTACTGAAAGACCCTGTATATATACATATATTAATATATGAGACGAATGAAAATTCAACTGAAAAACTGAATTTATGTTATTTAAGGTACGAACCAGTTTGGAAGTAAGTATTCTTTACTCGGTTGGTAAAAATTATGAGAAATAGGAAACCTAATTAACGTTTTATTATAACTATTGAACAACACTATTATTATGCGTGTATATAATAAAAAGAATGAAAACAAAGTAAAAAACAGCAATAAGTAGTGTTAATAATGCAAAATAAATTCTTAAAATGCTTTAAAATATAATAAAAATATAGAAAACAATAAATTTTTGTTTGAAAAATCTTGAAATGTTAAAAGCTAATTTTAGTAAATTTGCCAACAATTTTATGCCGGAATACCGGTTGAAGGTTTCTGGTTCGGCAAATATTGGGCAACGTGCATTAAAGGTCCCTAAACCTTTATGATAGGGAAGAGTGCGTTATAAGAATGTTGCTGAGTTATTTATTTCAGTTTTCTGTGCCTTTGCAGCGGATGGGAAACAACTATGTGGCAAATTCAGTTAATGGGTCTGGATTGGAAGACAGAGAATAAATGCTGTAAGCGTATATAATGTAGATAACAGATAAACGAACCATAGATGTGTAAACCAATGTATGTGTAAGTAGTCATGGAATTAACTTTATTGAAAAGAAAAATAGATATTAAGTATATTAAATAATTAGAAAAAATGGAATTCAGAATACTAAAATAACAAGCGGTAAGAGACGTTAGCATAGGACAAACCTAAGAAGCTAGAGTAGTTGCAAGGCTCCATTCAGACGGTTGTATAAATGTCTTAGAAGCATAATCATAAGGCAGAAGATGCCTAAGTTTTTTTCGCACCTGCCAGACAGGGTCTAAGACGTAGCCAATTAGAGAAACCGAATTTGCGCCATCATGCGTGCATAATCATAAGGCAGAAGATGCCCGAGTTTCTTTCGCACCTGCCAGACAGGGTCTAAGACGTAGCCAATTAAAGAAGCCGAATTTGCGCATGCGTGGATGTGTCCGCACCTTTCCCGCTCTGTTTTCAAGTTCAGTAGGTCTCACCCGTTTGCTCTGATTGGTCAACTCTTGTACCAAGTTGGCATAGAGTTGAAAACTTCGAACTTTATGCAAAAACCCGTAAACCAGTATTTGTTACGTAACAAGGTCTGGTTACCTAGCAACGAAGCTCGGTTTAAACCAGTTGTGACATTTATACCACCGGGAACATTATACACTGACTACCAATGAGTATTTGGACACCTTTGATAGAAAAGAAAAACTAACTTTATTCAAAATCAATAGTTGGTAGAGCCTCCACGAGAGGTAATTACAGCGTGGACCCTCCGAGGCATACTTTGCACAGGTCTTTGTATGACAGCTAGTTGTATTTTCTTCCACTCGGCTTGGAGAAGACATAGAAGTGCCTTCACCGATTTTGCACAGGTAGTACACCCCCGAATTCGGCGATGCAACTCGTCCCAGAGGTTCACCAAGCTTTGGTTAACGCCGAAACATGACAACGGGCATTGTCGTCGTGAAAGTAACAGGGGTCCAACCCGTAAAACTGCCACAACGTAGGAAGCACATTGCCATCCAAAATAGATTATATATTATCCAAAATAGGCATCAGATTTGAGATTACCATGAATGGGGACCAAGGTTCTCTCAGCCCATACCAGGAGAAACACCCCCAGACCCCATAATTCCACCTTCGCCGAACTTGACTGTTGGCACAATGCATTCTGGCAGGAGACGTTCTCCAGGTAGACGCCAGACCCAGACCCTGCCATCCGAACGGTGAAGGGTGAACCTTGATTCGTCACTCCAAAGAACCCGTTTCCACTGATCTATGGTCCAATTTCGATGTGCTTTGCACCACATTAACCGAGCAGCGCGGTTGGACTTTGTGACCAAAGGCTTATGGGCAGCAGCACGGCCACGAAACCCAAGCAGATGTGCTTCCTTACGGATGGTATTCATTGAAACAATACTCCCGGATGCCTGTTGAAACTCCTTGCGGATGAGGGCCATCGGTAGGATGCGGTTCTTCCGAATTTCTCTGGACAGCACTCGTCGGTCTCTATCTCCCAGTTTCGTTCGTCTGCCGACTCGGGGCACATTCCGACAATCACCACTCACCTTCCACTTCTTAATCACATAGGCCACTATCGATTTTGGGTACTTCAGATCGCCAGATATGTCCCTTAAGGATCGGCCACATTTGTGATACCCGATAATTATACCTTTCTCGAAATCAGAGAGCTTCGAACTGCGAGGTATCTTGCATGCAACTAAAGCCGATGCTGTTTCCTACACGATACATACCGGCGGAGCCCGTGACGTTCCTTAGGACCGCAGATATTGTAATTTGCATAGGTGTATTGGTAGTCAGTGTAGAATATACAGAGTATACGGAGATGTCCGAAATTAATGAATTTATTGCATTACAGTTTACATAACTGGACAGAAGAGCTGACAAAATTTATTAGATCTCTATGTGAGTGCTATGTCTATTCAAACTTTTAAAATTTGTACTACATAAATAAGAATGGGAAATGTATGTTCGAATGTATATACCTGGAGGGGCAACATTTTGCATTCATTTAAATCTTTTGTGTAAAAATTGTACCACCCAAAGTAATGTTATGTACCAAAGAATGAGAAATTCTGTTATGGGCGATACTCTGTCTTCATTCCACACTTTCGCAAGTAACGATGATATGATCTTGCTCTACCATCTCTGCAATTCGGGCACGTAATCCTAAAGAGGTGAAGTTCGCTTCCCTCCAGTCTTTCCGGCTAACAAATCTTTTCAATTTCTTCTTTTCAGCGATCTAAACCAGAATACTGTGAATATATTTATTTCAGAGATATATCTCATTCTTTTTTCTTATTTTTTTCCTGATAACGCTGTACTACGAGCGTTATATTTAGGTTTCATGTAGGATGTACGAATACTGCGTGCTACCAAACATATGTAGGCAAAAATATTTGCAACATTACTGCAATTAATGTTGAAAACTAATTAGAATCTCTCTGTTAATTACAAATAGCTAACTAGGCTATAATTTTGAGATCTAGTTTAATTACCTTACGTTCTTTGTAGAGGAAGGATTAATTAAAAGTCTTTCACTCAGATATTTGTGTAATTAAAACTCGTAAATAAAAAGCTTTAGCGTGTGTGTCTCAGTGAGAATAAATGAAGATACAGTCTTGAATGCAAATATTTGTGTTTCAAATGACCAGAAGTCATTTGATAGCAAATTACTTTGTGTTTTGAATTTGTTTTATTATTAAATACTTTTTTGTAACTAATAATTGTTTTATATTGTGAATTTAGAATTTATGGTATGCACGGATTTTTTTCAAATGCTATATCATAAAATTTCATTTTACTTCTCTAGCTGAGTAGCTGCCTTTTATTTAGGTATATACTGCATTTTAGCTTACTAATTTTGTAATTTTAGATGTCATATGTAACATTACAAAATCCATTTTTATATTACGTGTTTTAATTATATT